TTATTGGGTACTTGCAATGCTTGCATCTCTAGGAAAAGTGATCATGCCTAACCATGTGAATTAAATCAGATTTAGTTGATTACCTGTAAGCGACGTCATGCGCGTGTGTCAAACCTCATTGGCTTCTGAATCAACAAATGTCATGATTTACCTCCGATGACGTCACTTGCATATATCCATTGCTGTTTTACTTTTTTTCAGATATTGTCAATAGTATTTAGTCATTCGCTGTAGACAACTCCGTTTTTTTCTATTTTAAATTGAGCATAAGGGAATAATTGATTTCATAAGTAAACTGCATTATGAAAATGGTATTTTTAAAGTTATTATCTGTAAAGTTTTATAGAATTGTTCAATATTGACTGTAATAAAATTAAGTTGGGTTCTCCAAGAAAATTAAGGTCTTCAACTGTAATTTAAAGGTAAAAAGGTGAATTATCTTTATAAATAATGGAAGAGACACTTTAAGTTTTTTTTACAATTTTTTAAATTTCTCAAGAAATACTTGGATTATTTCATAATTTCTGTGGTAATTAATTCAAGCGATTTTTCATACTTAGCAAGACAATTTTAAGCTTTCAGAGGTTTCAGGGACCGATATTAAATTACGAAAGAAAACAAGTATTTTTGAACACCCTTTACCAGAAAATCAAGGAATAATCTTGTAATTTGCACCGATTACTTTGGTTGTTACTTGCAATTACTGCAGAAAATTTCCTAAATCTAATTTAAATCTAATCTAATAATAAAAAATTTATTTTATAGTCTTACATTGTTTTGCTTCAACTTTAAAAATATTTATTAAAATGAAATAAAATTTTTGGAGTAATCAAAAATTAATTACAAAATAATTATTTCAAAATTTGAAAAAAAATTCGTAAAAAACTGCGCAAGATGTGACTATTTAAAGTAGTTCTTTTATACTGCGCATGCACGGAAAAAAGTTAAAGAAAATTATTTTTTTAAAATTTTGTAGGGATTCGTATTTGGCAACTAACGAAAGAAAATCTGATTTGAATATCTTATAAAATTTAAAGAGTTTCGAACAAAATTTTCTAAGTAGTTCTTGTACTTCTTTGAAAAAGCTCAAAGTATTTCCAAGATTTATTGAAAAGGACACAATGCTTGTGTCCTTTTCAATAAATCTTGTTTAATTGTACAAAATGAAATTTGCGAAATATATTCAAGGTATATGAAGAAAAAAATTTCTTTCATAAGCCGGCTAAGGCTCATTAAAAGCTAATTTCAGGCTTGAAAAACGACTTTCAGGACGTATAGCAAATTTTTATTTTTTCAACATAATTAGACTTTGAAATATGAATGGTATATCACGAAAACAGAACACTACAAATAACAACAGAATAATAGTCAAATAAAATAAACCTCTAAGGAGTACTTTATAACTATTGTTACATTATTTTAAACAGGATGATTAAAAAATGCAACAAAACTGAATAATAAAAAATCTATAACGGGAATTTACAAAGAAGAATGAATTGAAATATTGTTTGTAGAAGTATAGCTCAAAATATTAATTTATAATATCCGTAATTTCGGAATAATAAAAAATGTAGAAGGAAAGAACATTTCAAATTTCCGTTTTTATGTCAAACCTCATTAGCCTGAATGCACAAAGAACAAAACATTCCAGATAATCCTGTAAAGGTAAGTGAATGACCCGAAATTTTTCTTAAATTTATACTTTTCCTGAAGTATAAATCCAATGTCATTACATAATAACAGTAAAAAAAGTAATAACGCAGTAAATACCGCCATTACTTGTCTTCTTCAAACAATCGTTCTTTTTTTTAGAATAATGGAACAGAACTTCTATTTGCTTTCTTTTATTTAATACATGCGTTTAAATACGCCCGTTGCCACTGCTTTCTTTTGAGTGGAGTTGGTGCGCATCTTTTCTTCTATTACTCTCAAAAGAACCGACGGTATTTGTTAGCGATGCGCAACCAATCAAAGTGTTTTTGTTCTTAACAAAACTTTTTCTTTTGGCATCGAATAGTGAATCGTAGTTTGTTTTTCAGAAAGTTTTTGGAAAATGTGAGACAACTATGTATGGATCCACGATGGATTCTTTTTACACCTGAAGTTAGATTTTCAATTTGAATATTGTTACGTTTAATTATTTACTTATGTTACTGTGCATGACCAAAATTGCTGGTTGTTTACTTCCACCGGTGAATGTTGACAATCACATAATCGCTTTTGTAAATGTTCGAAATATATATTAGGTCTAGTTAAGTGCCACTGCCCGGTATACCCTACACTGATGTTTTTTAAGGTTCAGTGCCACTGCCTAGTATGCATTTAATCGGTACTCCGAACACTGAAGTTTCCCCTTATCTGTCCTCAGCGGAAAATTAAATATCGAATAAATATAATTATATCAATGAATGATTGGTGACATTCTCTTGATTTAAGTCATTCATGGCAACATTACATATAAAAGTCAAAAAGCTGTTGAGTTCTACAGTAGAAGTCATTGTTAAATTATGCTTTCGACCTTGACAACCGAAATCTGGAGATCTTCGATAACTTTATATGTTTAGCAGATCTTCGGTTACTTTCTCTTTATGTTTTTCTGGAAAAAAAAACTTTCACATTAGTTTCATCTGATGCGTTAAGGAAAAAAATCCCAAAGTCTATTATTGAAAGTTCAAGTATCTTCCAAATTCAATTAAATCGTTTATTCAATTTTTGAATGAATATATTTTTCAATTTAAAGTGTCAAATAGTTGTTTTGCTCTATAATACAGGCTCTAGTTAAATTATACTTTTAATTTCGACAGCCGAAATTTGGAGATTTTTAAAATTCAATTATTTAGCATATCTTTGGTTACATTCTCTTTATGTTTATCGAAAAAAAACTTTCTCATTAGTTTTTCTCATCTGATGTGTTAAGAAAAATATCCAAAGCCTATTATTGAAAGTTCAAGAATCTTTCGAATTCAATTAAATCTTTTATTCAATTCATCGAATGGATAAATTTTTCTATTTAAAGTGTCAAATAGTTGTTTTGTTCTACAATACAGATTTTCGTTAAATTATGCTTTTAACTTTGACAGCCGAAATTTGGAAACGTTTTAAAATTTAATTATTTAGCAGATCATAAGTTACCTTCTCTTTGTTGTTTATCTGAAAATACTTTCTCATTAGTTTTACTCATCTGATGCGTTAAGAAAAACATTCTAAGCTTATTATTGAAAGTTCAAGTAACTTTCTAATTCTATTAAAATGTTTATTTTATTCTTTGAATGGATAAATTTTTAAATTTATCCAATACAGGTCATTGTTAAATTATATTTTTGACCTTGAAAACCAAGATCCATAGATCTTTTATTACTTTACTATTTAACATATCTTCAGTTATTTGCTCTTTCTTTATATTTATCTAAAAAAAACTTTCACACTAGTTTTTCTCACTTGATGCGTTAAGAAAAATAACCAAAACTTGAAAGTTCAAGCAACTTACAACTAAATTGCTTATTCACTTTTTCCATAGTTATTTTTTTTTTTCCACACTAGTTTCTCTCACTTGAAGTTTTACGAAAAAATTAACACCTATTGTTGAAATTTCACGTAATGTTTAAATTTAATTAAAATGTTTATTCAGTTTGTTTCAAATTTAAAAATATATTACTAAATTTAGTACACAAATTTAGTACGTAGAGTTTACAGAATTTAATTAAATAAAAAACCATAAGAAATGCTTGAGCTGGCTTTGATTTTAAATAGCCAAAACACAAAAGAGAAGAAAAAACGTAGTGGTAATAAAAATTTAAAAGCACACACTTAATCTATGATTTTAATAGACTTCACTTACAACTCGCGAAAGATCACCTACCCAAAAAATTGCTATGCTATCTTACTGGGCTCACTTTAGAAACCAAGAAAGCTTTGTTAGAGACAAGTTAGAGACATTTGAAATTGTCCAAGAATTTAACAATATTAACAATTCTGCTTATATCTAAAGTAGACAATTGAAACTAGCATTGTCATGATGCAGTGAGTTCCAGTTGGGATTTAATAGCTCTAGTTCATGGAAAAGTGGTCGAAATTTCGATTACATCATCATACCTACCCGCACACTAAATTAAAAGTATAAAAATGCAATAAGAACTCATAAATCATTCAAGAAATTGCCAAACTGTTAAAGCAATAATTTGCAACTACTGTCGTTGTGAAAAGTTACTCAAATCAATGCTGCATAATATTTTTCCTTTTACAAGGTTAAAGACATTTTTTTCTAAAATTTAATAGCGTTAGTTAAAATTTACCATTCATATTTCAAGAAATTTATTATTTTACGTTTACACTCTCAGAAATAAAATTCTCACCTTTGACGATTCTGCAATCCTTTAACAGTATTTCGTTAATTTTGAGAATCATTTCGTCACGAAACCGCGCGATTTGAGACGAAACGCTAACTCTTAAATATATGACGAAACTGTTTCCTCAACTAGAAACCTCAACGTAATGCATCGTGGAAGATTAACTAGAATGACGAAACTAGAATAAGACTAGACAATCGAAAATAACGTGACGAATTCAGCTGAACAGCTGCATAGTAGTCAAGGAGTTGGCCTAGTACCAGGAAGATCCAGGGTTCGAACCTTCCTTCGGACATGAGTGTAAATAATCGCACTGTTCTATCTGTCCTTGTTGTGTTGCGCCACCTATATGGTGCCCACAATTACGTGATTATTAGAAAAGTAGATACATTAGACACTACAAGTTTTTTTTCTGGGAAAAAATAGAATGACGAAGTATTTATTGACTTTTGACGAAGTTCGTATCCTCAAAAAAGTAAAGATAGTTATTTTGTCACTTTGACAAAATATTCAATCGGAGCATATACCAGGAAACGGTTTTGTCTTTGTTTCGTGATATGTGAGTATTCATTTTTTATAGTGTAAGTACAGAATTTATGACAAATATTTTTTAAAAAATTAGTTGATTTTTCAAGTTTTATTAGATGGTCTTACCTTCGATTCAGAGGTATTCGGAGATCTTCCGTACACGGCAGTCTTCCGTCTCTATTATTGAAACATGAAGTTCGATTCACTTCAGTTTCATTGTTCGTAAAGTAAGCTTCGTGGATTGCTAGAACACTATTCCAACTGCAATCCAATCTGAAATCTTGATTCCAACAAAACCTTCTTCGGATAAAATCTAAAATGAAATAATTAGAATTAGGAAAAGCAAAGTGTAATTAAAATTTTTGTTGTATTTTTACAAGTTTCGCAGTATTTAAGAAAAACCACATATTTCAAGCATTTAAAGAAACACCGGTACACATGGGAGAACATTATTATTTCACAGGAAAGAGTGAAAAGAAAAAAACTGCTTAAAAATGAATTAAAAATACTATTATGAAAATTTTGTGAAACTTTATTTTACCCACTTGCTTTGATCAAAAAGCATTCTAATTTATACGAGTTTCATTCTTGCTGGATCCAAATTAGCATCGACTAAAAAAGTATGCTTTTCCCATACTTGCATGGAAAAATAGTTCTATATGTTTATTATTTACGCGAATTTAAACTATGTCTTACCTGTATAGACAAAAAATATTCTTTCCTATTTTTACGCTTTTTAATACAGCTTAGCCGATATTTATATGGATTCAGAAAGTACATTTCGCATTTTTCTTATTTACATGAATTTCAGTTATGTTTTACCGGTATTTGCATCAATTACAAATGCATTTTTTTCTTATTCATGCGATTTTTAGCCTTATTTTACCCCACACTTGCACCTCTTAAAGAAACATTTAAAAGTACTTTTTTTCTTCGAATTTTTCCCTCGGAGTTTGTTTTAAATAACGATCATTTATCTGTCCTTGTAAGTGCGACAGAAAAACTTATTTACCCCCCCCCCCCAAAAAAAACATTATGCTAAAATTNAACCCCCCCCCCCCAAAAAAAAATATTTAAAAAAAAAATATTTTTTAGAAGCTCTCTTAGCTTAGTTGATGTTAAAAATCTATAAATAATTGAATAATAAATAAAAATAGGTTGCTTTAATATCGCCAAGGTTTACAGCAATTGTTACGAACTGAATAATATTGCGTTTTTTTTTCTTAACTTATGAAAAAAGTATGGTAGAAACTACTAAAATATGATAAAAGTTACCTTTTTTTTTTGGTTCTATGGGAACAACTAAAAGCTCGGCAATTTTTAACAAAGTGTTTTGTTAATGACTTTGGTAATATCTACAATAAAATACGATCTTATAATTTTAAAAGTTAAATGTGGTAAAATTTAGTTATTTTATCATGATACCTTAGAGCATGGCATAAAAACCATTCATTCGGTTGAAGTTTATTTTTCAGTTCTATATTTCTTACTAAATGTGTGGTAATAAAAACTATACTTTTAGATAATTAGAACTTCCTACAAGCCGTTTGCCACATGAACCGGAAAATTGCCAAATTAACAGTTTAAATACCATATATTTTGGTTTTATTACCAGAATTATTGTTCTTTTTTTTTAACCAGAAATGTCCGAACCATACTGTACGGTAATTTTACCAGATTTTTTCCTCTTAATGTGAAGTTGTATTGTTATTTCATATTAATGGGTTGAGTAATTTTTCTTCCTCTATTAACTTTGGTTTTGATTTGTGTGTGGTTATTTTAAACATTAAAAACATGAATAATAACTTAGTTATAAATAATAACTGAGTAAGAATAATGAATTCATAATCAGAAAAGCAAGTAAAAGTTTTCTAAATTAAGATGTGGAGAGTGGTTTGGCTCTTTAAATGATAAATCGGACAAAGAAGCACCAAAAAGTTATTTTAGGTATCGACATAAAAGCTGTTCTTTTTTTTTCTTTCTCTGCAGTGTGTACGTTAAACATTTCTTTTTTCCAACTGAGAAAAGCTTGTTTTCGTTTGATTGTAAGGTTTCCTGAGGATGTTTTTATGATTACTTTACAAATGACTTCAGTTTTCTATTTTTACCTTTGCTATCGCTTATTTTTCACTGCCTGCAGAGTAAGATTTATGTAAATCGTTTTCTTTTTGTATGATGGTAGTTGGCACCTTCTCCCCGCCTCCCCCCCAAAAAAATAATAAGAACCACAGTAAAAAAATTGAATATCATATCATGCACACATTTAGGAAAGAGATAAAACTTAAAGACGTACTTTTTTTTATTAAACCTTTATCATTTAAATGTTTAATATATATATANATATATATATATATATATATATATATATATATTTATTTATTGAAACTGGTGATCAAAAATTTCTTTGATGCTTATATCCTCCCTCCCTTCCACTGTGCGATGATTTCCATACAGGAAATTTTTTTTAGCACTACACCTCTGAACCACTGACTTTGATTATACTCTTCATTAAAAAATCTGTTTACATCCTACATAATATTACTTTAACATCGAAATTGCTTTCAGACGATAATTTTATAATTTAAAATAAGCTAAATACTACTATACGAATATTTATTGATAACATTGTAGTACTCAAATTTCTAATTTGAAATGTACAAGAAAATTACACAATTTGAAGTTTTGAGTCAATTTATTTTTAACTATTCCCTAACCTCACATTAGTAAGAAAAAAGAAACATAGCGGCCTTGGTGTTTACAAATATCACAAACGTTTATTCTAAAAAAGAATAACAGTTAATTTTCCTTCAGCTGATAGAACAAAACGTCATGCAATAGACACCTGCTGTGATACGGAGTAAGCGTGAGGTTGTCCGTCTGTGCACAACTCAACTTTGATGAATCCCAAATAATTCTCCCGCCACGCTGAGCCCCACTGCACTATGAAGAAAAAAAAAATTAACTAACTCACTCTTCTTTGAGTGGCCGCGTGATACATGCACTTTTTGTATTTATCAAAATTAAAAATCAGTCTCCATTGGGATATCTGTGCCATTGTCTACGATCTGCCAGCCTAAACTTGACTCAATTTGATTTATGATGTTCTGGGATAATAAAGTTAATGGTCCATTGATTAAAATTAATCAGATCCGTTTTCCATCATTTGATTACTCTACGAAGCTAAATGTTTAAAAACAATTGGGCGATATTTGATCTGCGATATTAAAGAAGAATGTATTAGGGTACGAAACAAATTGTCTTCCATTAAAAGCTATTTTTTAAGCATTCATCGCAAGACAATTAATTAAAAAAATGTTTTTATTTTCCTAACATTTTATTAAAACATAAATTTAAGCAGGGAATAACCACGAAACAGCATCAGATTTTGAAGAAACTATGACAACTAAATAATACAGAATTAGAGGCACTAAGAAATTCCGGATCAAATTACTGTAAAAAGGTCTCCTGGCACCATGAGTGTAGCATCCATAGATTCCTTTTCTAAAGCAAAATTTTATGCCATAATTTTTACAGTAATATTTATTTAATTACAGCTATTTTATAGTAAATATTACAGCATAAAAAGTAATATTTATTTCATTTCAGTGATTTTACAAAACATTTTACTGTAAAAATTACGGCTTATCAGATTTTGTGTTCCATAAAACTGTAAAGTAAAAATGGATTTTACGGTAAAAAGTATTGGCATCCTGACAATTTGAACATTTTACCAAAATTCGATCCGGAAATTTTTACAGTGTAAATGTTTTTAGTGATTCATGAATCCCATACAATTCTGCATGATAATGTAAAATATTCAAGGAAAAATCATAAAGTATTGAAAAGATATTTATAAAAACTATACATAGTATATTCGATTAATTTCCATGATCAAGTTTCAAATATAATATAAAATAAGTAATAGACGAATACATTTGACGGTTGATTGCTAGTTTTTATTTCATTTTATTTTATTATTATTTTCTTAAGTTCATTATAGTGCACAAATGATAGGACATTAATACACCATTTTGGGAGCATTTTAACCAATACAGATCTTTCAATGTACTGAAAAAATTGTTTTTGCACTAATTATTGTTATCTTATAATTTTACCTGCTCTTATAATTTATATTTATCTGAAATTTTAATATTTTTGTTTAATTCTGCTACTTTTTTTTGGTATGTCAGCTGTAATTGGGTAGAAAATACGAAATGACAAAATTGCTTTTTTTCCCTCTGATTTTTTAGCTGAGTGGAAGTGTTTTTTTAAGATTGATTTACTGTATAATAACATTGTCACTGAGAGAAAGTAAAATATACATTACAAAAAGTTTTCCTTACTTTTCAAATACCAATTCAATTTTAGACAGGAAAAAAAAAAGAAAACAAAAGAAAACGTCTCCTACACTGAGAAAAAAAGGTATGATCAAAACTACTAGAATATAGTAACATTTACAGCTTTTCTGGTTCTATGGGAACACTGAAAAAGTTTGTAATTTTGACCGAAGCGCTTTGGTAATGATTTTAGTAAAATTAGCAATAAAATATTATTTTATAATATGCGTTAGAATTTCGTAAATGTGTTGAAATTCGGTAATTTTATCATTATATCTTAGAGCATGGATTAGAATTCGGTTACATTTACTTTCCAGTTTTGTTTTTTTTATTAAATGTGTGGTTACGTGAATTATAATTTTGAAAATTGGAATCATATGAATAGAAAAACTCCCAAACGAATGATTTAAATACCGTATTTTTTGGTTTCCTTATCCAGAAGCAGGCTTTTTTTAATTTTTTTTTATACCAGAAATGTGATTACTATACAGTACGTTAATTTTACCAGAATTTTTTTCCTCCGTGAATAATTCCAAGCGTAAAGAAAAATAAAAAAGTAAATAAATAAACTTTTATATGTAAATCAGCAGATATCTTATTCGGAGTAACCTTCATTTCCAAAATATGCCTGCCAATATTATTAATTCGGCTTCACAAACATTTCTTTCAGATCTCCGAAACTAATTCGCCCATCAGGGGATGTAGGCGGCAACCGGATTTTCTGTCATCCAGAACTCAGAGATAGCTTTCGGATAGCAAAAACGAATGCTATATTTCTTGTTCATTTTAATTTTTTTTTCTTCCTCTTTGTAACAATGACTGAAAAGATCGCTTTTGGCGATAAGAGTCATGAAAGTTGGTGAAGTCCTTAAAGATAATAATTACAAACAAGAAGAGTGGTTTGGCGTGAAGCCGAACGTTGGCTCGTGCTACCGGTGAAATTGGTAACAATTAAATTAGATTGATGTTTCCATTT